TCCCCTTTATAGTTGTATCTCCAGGCCCAAGTGCAGCTTTTGGTCATTGGAGGTGTTCAATGAAGTTTGCTGCACAACTTAATGAAAGAGTAAACAAATTAAATTTCTGGTTCTCCGAGCTTTTCTTTTTATTTTTTTTGAGATGGAGTCTTGCTCTGTCACCCAGGCTAGAGTGCAGTGGCATGATCTCAGCTCACTGCAACCTCCGCCTCCCCAGGTCAAGTGATTCTCCTGCCTCAGCCTCACAAATAGCTGGGACTACAAGTGCCTGCCACCGCACCCAGCTAATCATTGTATTTTTAGTAGAGACGGGGTTTCACCATCTTGGCCAGGCTGGTCTTGAACTGCTGACCTCGTGATCCACCCGCCTCAGACTCCCGAAGTGCTGGGATTACAGGCATGAGCCACCGCGCCTGGCCTCTCCAAGCTTTTCATGGGAATAGAAGAGTATCTCAACACACAAGCAAGCATTTGTGTTTTCTTTTTTCTTTTTTTTTTTTTTTCTTTTGAGATGAGGTCTTGCTCTGTCATCCAGGCTAGGATATAGTGGCATAATCACGGTTCACTGCAGCCTCAACCTCCCAGGCTCAAGTGATCTTCTCACCTCAGTCTCTCAAGCAGTTGGGACCACAGGCATGTGCCACCACAGCTGGCAAACTCTTTTTGTATTTTTTATAGAGATGAGGGTCTCACTATGTTGCCCAGGCTAGTCTTGAACTCCTACACTCAAGTGATCCATCCACCTTGGCTTCTCAAAGTGCTGGGATTACAGATATTTGTGTTTTATGAAGTCGTGTCTCGCAAACTTGATGGTCTAGTGGCTACTTTGGTGAGTCCAAAAAATCAACCAAACAAAAAAACAGAAAACAAAAAACCCTTTTAAACTTTTCTATCCTTTTCTAATAGTCACTGCATAGCATCTTCCCACGTGTAAAGGTGTATCCTTTGAACTTTAGCAGGTGACGTGGGCATGAGTCTCTGTACCTCATGAATTCCTCAGAATTCTATGTCATTCTGAAATGTTGACCTATTTCTCTTGCTTACTGCTGAGGCCAGTAAACTAGCTGTCTTAGCGCCTCACCTCTTGTGGAATATCTCTGGCAAAGCCCGTTTCCAAGTGTCTTGTATTAGTGGAGATGTGTGTTGTATGGTGTCCTCATCAAGAAAAAACACACGTTTGCTTGCTGAAATTTTAGACAATTTCCTTCTAACAAAAGCCCTTGCCTGCCTATCTTTAGAATCCCAGCCTGGGGTGGGCACAGTGGCTCACATCTGTAATCCTAGTGCTTTGGGAGGCTGAGGCAGGATGATCACTTGAGGCCGGAAGTTCAAGACCAGCCTGGACAATATAGTGAGACCCTGTCTCTACAAAAAATGTTTAAAATAAATTAGCCGGCATGGTGGCACGTGCCTGTAGTTCCAGCTGCTCTGGAGGCTGAGGCAGAAGGATCGTTTGAACCCAGGAGCTCAAGGTTACAGTGAGCTATGATCGTGCCACTGCACTGCACTCCAGCCTGTGCAACAGAGACCCTGTCTGTAAAGCAAGTAAATACATAATTAAAAAATTAGAATCCCAGCCTGACTTGTGACTAAATTCGTTCACTAAGTGTGAGAGATGCTAACATTAAGTGCTGGTATATATGCTGCTTCATAGATGGCCCTTCTGACAACCATATGTTGTGAAACTGTTTGATGCATGTGGCCCACCAGTAGGAAAAGGCATTGTAGTCAGCACTGTCAAGAGATCAGGCAGAAGTGTAACATATGTATATTTTAAAGAAGGAGCAACAGTTGGGAATGGACAAAAGACACAGCCAGGGCACCCTCAGAAGCCTGTAATTATACTAGTAACCAAACCTTCCCATAAGAGAGCTCATTTTCAGAGAGGTGAAACTGAATCTGAAGACACGTTTCTGAGACGTGAATACTGAGATTGCTTTACCTAGGCATCGGCAATAAAACATCTTATGTTGATCACATCTTCCCCAGAGACATCAGAAAAGAACATGACTCACCTCATTGGTGTAAAAAGGACATTCTGCTTCCCTTCCTAAAACCTTCCATGGTATTGTTCCGCTTTTGGTTCTGAATTATAGAAAGATGAATATTTTTGTCCCTGAGCCAGGAAGGCTGTGTGCCACGTGTCTTTTACACAGCAGCTACATTTCACAAAAGAGTGTTTTTTACCTGATTCTTCCTGTGGCATTTTAGAAATTTGCTCTGGACTTTCTAACATTCATTTCTTGTGTCCCCAAGGCACCATCACGAGTCAGTGGGAGGAAAAACATTAACTTCACTGAAGCCGGGAGAAAGGTCGAATGGCATGTCCAGAATCACACGGTGACTCAGAATACCTGCCTGGGCAGCTTCTTCATCTGTTAGAAGGTTCACTTTTCAAACAGCAAGAGATATTTATTCATTTTGGAAACCTCTTCTGCTGCGTTTCTAAATGGTCAGCCTCTAGATTAGGGGAGGAAATCACCCAGTTTTCACTAGCTACCACAAGCCAACACAGTGAACATAAAAGCTTGTAGAAAGATTATTCCATCAGGATAGATCTATAGTTGGTTATCATCATGCTTGAGAAGCGTTTTCGGAAGTGAGCTCAAGCTTTGGAAATTGATTTCATAGAGCAGGTCTGTGTCCTCATGACCACCCCACCTGCACCCCAACAGTGTCCCTGCAAGACGAATGCCCTGGAGGAGCAAGACCAACACCATTGCCCACCTGACATTTAAAAATGTTCTCATATTTGGGTGAAAGCAGACTTCAAATATCTGGGTTACCACTTTTTCAGTCTTTTCTTAGATGCTTGCATTGTAGAAAAATGTTAGGTAGAGAATTAAGGCAATTTAACAATCACTTGCCACACTCCAGAAGTTTAGAATATCACCTTTAGGCCAGCTCATGTTTTTAATCAACTCATGATAACTATTGGTTCTAAATGAAAAGTTTCCCTTTTTATTGTTTAGCTGTGGTTGAAATTTGCATTTTTCTCTGAATCAATAAAATCATCTTAGAAGTTGGTTGGCATCTTCTCAGATTTCCCTGCTCCTGTTGGGGCACAAAAATTCTCTTTGGTTCTACTTTACCCCTTGCATGTTAAGCAATCCTAGTTCCCTTACCTTACCTGATCCTTTCCCCTCTCCCTCCAGCTGATGGCTCCTCTCTGATCCTGCTGGGAGGTTCCTGACTACATTCTCCCGGGTAGTTCAGAAATTTACCCTCACCAGTAGCCCTCACTCTCCAAAACAAAAACCAGACAACTCTTTGTTTGGTACTTTATTAAAAATGCTAAAAATAAAAGAAAAGAAAAGAAAAAAAGAAGCACAAAATGACTCATACACATTCCCCCAGACTAACAGGAGGAGTGACTCACCTTCCCTCCTCAGCTTGTATCACTCATGTCTTATGGATTAGGACATGGAATCATGTGTAGGTTTCTCTGCCACTTTCTAGAGCCAGTTAAATTCTAAGATCCCCAGAAGTTTAGTAGTCATAAACGATTATTAAATACTTGGGCATCAAATAGGGTAATGAAATGAAAATATGTCTTCCATGAAGACACCGGCTATGACAATGACCAGAGAAGAAAATCTCTGGAATCTTAACATGGTGATTTCTCATTGCTCACCAAGATGTGTGGGTTTCCCTTCACTGATGATACTCACACGAGCTACTCCTACTGCACATGACAAAAAGAACTCAAGAAGGCAAACTTTCTTTACAAGTTGAAGGTAAAAGAAGCTAGATTGATAATAGTTTCTATAGATTGATTTATCTTTTTGACAAGTTTAAAACATATACTTAAAATATAATTTAGAAAATGCTTAATCTGCTGACTCCAGAGCCTGAAGTGCAGGGTGGGGTGGGGGTGGACAGCTGCCTACTACACCAGCAGAGCAAGACTGCAGAGGTGCGGCTCTCCCTCCCACACCCTTCTCTTCAGACACCCAAGGGGTCCCATGCACCCCTGGAATCACACAACTAGTTTCTACAGATTTGAGATATGAGAAATTATAGACACTGGCTTCAGTTATTCAAAAGCAAGAGCTTGGGTTTTTTGATCCTTTAATTAAAGTTCTTGTTCCAAAAAAATGTGTTCAAACACAACCTTTAACAGCTCAATTTCTAAAAATTATTTCATAAAAGGAGGAGAGTGAACAATCCTCTATGTATATGTTCTACAGAACAAATCTTATCACCAATTACTAAAGCAGGGAAGTGCAGCTTGTCAAAAAGGCCTTACTGGAGAGGCGGTGGGGGATGGGGGATGGAGAATATGAAAATGTCATTAAGGATGAGAGCCTAGACGCGATAAAAGATGCAGCACTTCAGAGCAGCCCAGCCAAAATGAGAGGTGGCAAAGCTACTTTTCTGTCTGTGAAATTTGCATTTGTTTCATTTCCTTTACCAGTGCCATCTGAGTCCCTCCAAGCCACCTCACTTTCTGTTGTCTCCATTTCAGCCTAAAGACACCCCAATTATGGTGTGCATTCCAGGTATTTCAGTCAGTTTTTTTGGGATGGGGTGGGGGGCAGAGTTTTGCTCTTGTTGCCCAGGCTGGAGTGCAATGGTGCAATCTGGGCTCACTGCAGCCTCTGCCTCCAGGGTTCAAATGATTCTCCTGCCTCAGCCTCCTGAGTAGCTGGGATTACAGGAGCCTGCCACCACACCCGACTAATTTTATTTATTTATTTATTTTTTTATTTTATTTTTAGTAGAGATGGGGTTTCACCACATTGGCCAGGCTGGTCTCGAACTCCTGACCTCAGGTGATCCACCCACCTCAGCTTCCCAAAGTGATGGGATTACAGGTGTGAGCCACGGAACCTGGCTCGCAGGTATTTCAATCTAAATGTCAGTTCAACAGGAAACATCAATTAAAACAAAAATGGATTTCCCACGACCAATACGAATTCCTGTGGCCACTCTCATCCCATTTCCTATCTACATCCACCAAAAAAAAAAAAAAAAAAAAAAGCAAGGAATAGAGCATACAATCTCTTTTTTTTTATGTTCTCTAAGTAAACCCTGGGTTCTGGTAGGACCCTGTGTCAACATCTTGCTGTCTGAACTCTTATCCTGTTAGGGTAGCCAGATTTTATGCTTTTAAAACACCAACTAGTCCAATGTATAAGTTCCGTCTATTAATGGCCACTTTTTTTTTTTTTTTAGAACATCTTAAATTTTTAATCCTTTCTTTACAGGTTACCTAGACCACTTTTAATTAAGAAAACTGTAGAAAGTCAGTAACTGCTGCAAGCGAACGCCAGGCGGTGGCACGTCGATTTCCACAGAGTCCTTCTTTGCGAGGTGTCTGAATGTACTACAGGGGCTCGGTCTCTGCTCACACTTGCTGGAATCAATCGTGGCAGATTTTAGTCCACAGGTCGCTTTTCCCCATATTTCTTTGTAAACTCTTCAGCATTCTTACAGAATTTTTTACGGTCTTTAGAGTATTCTTCAGCTAGGTCAGCCCGAAGCGGGTGCTCGGGCTGTGGGTCATTCACCAGTGCTATGAGGGACTGGATTACTTGGTCGGTTTTGGTTGCTGGCTTCCAGTTTTCAGCACTAATTACTGGCAGACAGACCTGCCCCTTTTCGTCGATGTTCGGGTGATAGATCTTTGTTTTAAATGTAATCCTCGGTGGTTTGAATGGGTACTCTGCTGGAAAGTTGATTTCGATTCTGAAGGCCCCCTTATTATACGGAGGGTTGTCAGGAACAATAAGTCCTTGCCAAGTCAATAAATTAGCTTCATCAACCTGGATGTTACGGAAGTTTTCCATTCCACATTTGCGTATTTCTTCAAGCTCCTTCATCAGCCTCCTGCTGGCCGCCATCTTGGATTTGGTGCTGCTCCTTTCCCAGAATGCACTGTGGTAACGGCCACTTTCAATGGTTGCATATGTATACACAAATAACGTTCTGATGTGGCAGTTTGAACTTACGCTGAGCAAAGCAACTTGCCCACTGGTTGATTAGAATGATCATCCACAATCCTACACATTATAATTCTCTTTTTTTTTTTTCTAGAGCCAGAGTCTCGCTCTGTTGCCGGGGCTGGATTGCAGTGGCGCCATCTCGGCTCACTGCAACCTCCGCCTCCTGGGTTCAAGCCATTCTCTTGCCTGGGCCTCCCAAGTGGCTGGGATTACAGGCACGTGCCACCATGCCCAGCTAACTTTTTTTTGTATTTTTAGCAGAGGCGAGGTTTCACCATGTTGGCCTTGCTAGTCTCGAACTCCTGACCTCAAGTGATCCGCCTGCGTTGGTCTCCCAAAGTGCTCAGATTACAGACGTGAGCCACCGCACCCGGCCTTACACATTATAATTCTACCTGCATATTCACCTGTTGCCTGACTGAAGACTGATATTATATCCAGATCAGATTGCTCATCTTGCATTTCACAGCACAAAGTGAGATCCTTGGTGTTTGAATTTTTTTTTCTGAGGAATTTCTATTAATCCAGTTCATGTTCTCAACAGGAAGTAATTCAGACATGGGAAATGATAAAATGTATCAACTGAGAGCCAAAGAAGATAATGAATAGAGGTCAAATATACAAATATACTCATGCAAAGGGATAGAAATAATATATTTTGGGGCATTTTCACAAAAAGTTATCACTTTAGAGTACGAATGTAAATTATACTTGTTTACCTGAATTTTCAGATATAACACTTTGTAGAATATTTAATATACTGAAACCTGTCGTTTTAATTATAAAATTGGACTTGAATTTCTGTAGAACAAGTATTATACCCAGAACGACACGAAAACTTCAGTAAGAAGGCAGCAAAACTTATTTAAAAATCACATATTTAAAGGTAAGATTATCTTTTACAATAAATTATTAATGGCATTGCTCAAAATAAGTTACGGAATATGAATGCAAAGTAGTCAGAGTTATTTTTATATTTGCCATAAGAGCTAAGGAGCTTAAAAAGAAAAGTAGTATTAGAACAACAAAAAATGGGACAGCAGTCACTTGGCTTCAATAAGCCTTCTCTGCAATATTCTGTAACAAAAGAATATACAACTTGCATTTTTAAAAGTTACCTTGTTGTGGAAGCTTCTGAATTTTGGAAAGGAATGGTTGATTTTGATCAAAGCCTGGAAGAAATACAGACATTTTGAATCAAAATGTAACAGTATATGCAGAGAGCTCTCTAGCTACAGATAATAAAATCACCACCTAAGCACAGGCTGTGTAGACCAGGACTAGGAAAGAAGTCCATCTGGCAGGAAAATAAGTTAGGATTCAGAGAGCAAATAAGATTGCAGCAGATGTCAGGGTACAGAAAATGATTGAATAAGTAAGAATTCAAAATAGTATGTTTATATGACCTGTCTTCCCCAACTAAAAGCTCCATATGGGCAGGGATTGTAATTTTGTCCATTGCTGTATCCCCAGCTTCTGCGCCAGTGTCTGGCTTATAGAAGGTGCTCCATACATTCCCCCTCCCGACCCCTCACTTTTGTGTAAGCCCTGACTCGCATCCATACTTTTTTTTTTTTTTTTTTTTTTGAGGAGTTTCACTCTTGTCTCCCAAGCTAGAGTTCAATGGCGTGATCTCAGCTCACTGCAACCTCTGCCTCCCAGGTTCAAATGATTCTCCTGCCTCAGCCTCCCGAGTAGCTGGGATTACAGGCACCCACCACCACGCCTGGCTAATTTTTGTATTTTTAGTAGATATGGGGTTTCACCATGTTGGCCACGCTGTTCTCAAACTCCTGACCTCAGGTGACCCACCAGCCTTGGCTTCCCAAAGTGCTGGGATTACAGGCGTGAGCCACTGTGCCTGGCCCTTTCCTTTCCTTTCTTTTCTTTTCTTTCTTTCCTTCTTTCCTTCCTTCCTTCCTTCCCTTTTTTTTTTTTTGGACAGAGTTTCGTTCTTATCACCCAGGCTGGAGTGCAATGGCGCAATCTTGGCTCACTGCAACATCCGCCTCCCAGGTTCAAGCGATTCTCCTGCTTTGGCCTCTGGAGTAGCTGGGATTCCAGGCACGCCCGGCTAATTTTTGTTATTTTTAGCAGAGACGGGTTTCACCATGTTGGCCAGGCTGGTCTCAAACTCCTGACCTCAGGTGATCTGTCCGCCTTGGCCTCCCAAAGTGCTGGGATTACAGGCGTGAAAACCCTGCCCGGCCCATAAATATTTGATAAGTGAATAAACATAAGCTGAAGTTTCAGAAGACAGATTTGTCCAAGGAAATTAAGTCCCACAAGTATGTGAGGAACACCTAAACAGTACTATGTTAAGTGTCTGCATGTAATGCAAAAGTAACTGTTATCCAAGACTCAGTAATATGGCATGAGAATGCATGGCGCTGGGCGGGGAGGAGCGACTGTCTTTGGGAAGAAGGCATTAGAGATGGTATTGAATGGTAAGTGGTAGGAAAGGGAGGGACTGGAGCCCAATGCCAGGCCTTGGGCTTTGTATTCCATTCCCAATCTCCCTGAGAACAGGAACTACTTCAAGTGCCTGCCTCACTATGTTTCTAGTAGGTGCTCAATAAATATGCATGAACTGGTAAGTAGATAATTGGGAGCCAAGCAGTGCATCCAATGGAGCTGCAGGATCAGCATGCTGGCCAGGACCAGCCAGGGAATTAGCCAGGGCCTATTTCTTTGTTCTCTGACTCATCTAATTGAACAACTGTGGCCAATCCAGGATGGGCATTGTCAGAGTGTGGTCTGAGAACTCCTCCCCCAGGATTAAACGTTAAAATGTTAACCCTCAGGCCCCATTGAGACTTCTTGAATCAAAATCCTGAGGGAGAGAACAGACACGGGAATGTAAAGCAGGTATCCAAGAATTGGGCACTGTGGCTCATGCCTGTAATCCTAGCACTTTGGGAGGCTGAGGTAGGAGGATTGCTTGAGGCCAGGAGTTCAAGACCAGCCTGGGCAACATAGTGAGACCTGGTATCTACAAATTAAAAATTAAAAATTAGGTGGGCATGGTAGCATACACCTGTAATCCTAGCTACTCGGGAGGCGGGACCGGGAAGGAAGATCACTGAGCCCAGGAGGTTGACGCTGCAGTGAGCTATGATTGACTGCACTTCAGAAACTGAAATCCCAAGAGCAAGAGAAACAACTATTTTGGGTGGTCACTGTGGGCCAGGTACTGTTCAAGATGCTTTCACATATAGTAATTTTATTTATTTATTTAATTTTAAATTTGCTGCAAACTCTTGAGCAGACTTACATATAGTAATTTAATATGCAATAATCCACAGAGGTAGTTTGATTATAACTATCTGTTTGAGGAAACAAGCTCAGAGATAGTATATAACTTGCTTTACACTGAATGGCAAGTAACTATTGGGGATCCAAATTCCTGAGCTTAATTTCAGAGACCACACACTCTCCTACATCTCACGGCACCTTAGGGGAATGCAGAATCCAGGAAACCAGGACATCATGTTGTGCCTGCCTTCAGGAAATGTACATTCAGCCTCTGTTTGGTTGAATCTGCCTAAATGAATCTCCAGAAATCGAGATTTGAGGTTTTAACATTACATAATTCTAGATCCTAGAGTGTCAAAGTCATCTATGACTTTAATAATCCTAGTAAGACGTCCAAGCACTGGGTGCAGTGGTTTGTCTGAACCAGGACTAATTTTTAGAAAATTCACATGTGCAGAGTGGACAAGTGCCTTAACAGAGTGAAGGCAGAGGTGGGGGAAGACAGCTGGAGAGGTGCAGACTGTCACCCTCACACCTAACACCGCTGTTGGCTCCCACCAACAGTCCCACCCAGGGTGGCCGGGTCTTCTCGTGTTTCAGAGAAGCCTAAAGTCCAGCTTTCCATGTGAAACATAACAATTTCAAAATATCCATAACTAATTCAAAAGTTTAAACTACACCCTGCAGGCCAAACAAACAGGTCTGGAAGACAAGTTCAGGCCCATGGAGCTCCAGCATGCACCCTCTAGTTGGGAACATACAAATCCCAGCTCGTTAAGCTACATAAAGTAACTGGGACATGGTTTAGTGAAAACGGTTTCCATCAGAACCTGTCTGTGCATCTGCTGGCATGAAGGTATATCCCTACCACTATTTCTGGTTTAATTTAGGAAAACATGCATTGCATCATCTTCTGATTTTATGCAAGTGTATCAGATGTGGCCTGAAGGCCAAATTTTTATAAATTGGGATTGCGTCTTTTTATTGCCCACCTTCCCACCGTAAGGATGCCTAATTCTGGTTTTTGAGTGATCTTTAATGAGCACTGGCCAATTTTAAATGTATGATTCCCTGGCCTTTCAGTTTATTTTATTTTTTTGAGACAAGGTCTGGCTGGAGTGCAGTGGTGCTATCTTGGCTCACTGCAACCTCCACTTCCCAGGCTCAAGCCATCCTCCCGCCTCAGCCTCCCTAATAGCTGGGACTACAAGTGTGCACCACCACGCCCGGCTAATATTGTAATTTTTTAGAGACGGAGTTTCGCTATGTTGCCCAGGCTGCTCTTGAACTCCTGGATCCAAATGATCCCCCTGCCTCAGCCTCCCAAAGTGCTGGGATTATAGGCGTTGAGCCACCACACCCGGCCCTAGCTTATTTTAAAGGAAACTAGAGTAAACTCTCTGGGGGAAGAACCTCCAGTTTAATAACGCTCTGTATTGTATCTCCTTTATTGTAATTGTATTTGGAGATTTTCCACATGGAACTTCTCTGTACTGAAGCCTTAAACCTGCTGTGTTTCAGAGCAGAAGTTACCCATGTCTGTCTATCTCTCTCTGACACACATGCACAAAAACTAGATATGTGACTTACTATATATGACACGATAAACATTCTAAAACAGTAAGTTTAGAACAATAAATTGCGTTTTGTCATTGCTATTATTTAATGA